ATGGTCTTTTTTTAACTGACAAATCCCCAGTATAGACACAGTTTAAATTAGCATAAAGTGCTCTTGCCCGTATAGTTTATATATCTCAGGAAACTGGTGGAAGCTATACCTGCAGAAGCATGTTTAAACAGGTATAATCTATATCTATACTAGGAAGGTTTGTCAATATAGCTATGCCAGAAAACCTCCTTTGTCATATTTCAGTAACAGCTCTGTCAAGCTACATCAACCCATCCCTCCATCATTCAATATAGCTATATCTCATACAGTCAAGACAGTTAGAGTGCACGTAGATAAATGCTGGAATTCAAATCTGTGGAGTGCAACACAAACAATGGAACATTCTCTTAGTCTTTCCTCATGTCTCCTTATTATGCTCCCACACACACATACACTGCTCCTCGAGCAGGTTCAGTCTCTACTGGCTTTGGGGGCTATAGAGGAGGCTCCCCTACAGCATTAGGGACAGGGATTCTACTCCTCGTATTTCTTGGTTCACAAGCCCAAGAGGACAGGTCTCAATCCTCCTGATGTTTGCAACCTCAACAAATACATCAGATAAGTGAGATTTTGTATGGTCACACTTGCAAATATTCTCTTCAATTAAATCACAATGACTGGTTTGCTGCCATGGATAGTTAAGGCGATTATTTCCATGTAGCAATTCTCCCAAGCCACAGGAGGTTTCTCCGGTTTGTTGTGGAAGACCAGCACTCTCAGTACACAATGTTCCCTTTTGGTCTGTTTTCCACTGCCTGGGATTTTATGAAATGCATGATTGTGGTGAGAGTGTAACTCAGGAATAGGGGAATTCATATCTTCCTGTGTCTGGATGATTGGTTACTGAGGGGCAAGTCCAGAGAAGAAGTCCTCTCTCATGTTCAGTTCACACTACACTTATTTGATAGCCTAGGTCTCATCCTAAACATCAGGAAGTCAGCATTGGTTCCAACTCAAAGCATCAAGTTCATTGGGGCCCTGATAGACTCTGAGTTTGAGAGCGTTTCTGCTGACGGAGAGATTCCACGCAATTTGCCACCTATGTCTGGAACTGCAGTCTCTACCCTCAGCCACAGCTGAGCATGCTTGAGGTTGCTAGGTCATATGGCTGCATGCAAACTGGTAGTCCAGTATGCCAGGTTGTACCTTCATCCTCCTCCATATATGGTTAAAGTCAGTCTATCATCTGAACAGTCACCACTTGGACAGAATGGTCCAACTTCCTCTGCTGATCCTAGCTCCTTATGGTAGTGGGTGGCTCAGGGCAATATGTGTTTGGGTGTTCTCTTCGCTCGGTTTCCACTGACCAAGACTATTGTCACTGATACCTCTTTAATAGGTTGGATGGCACATCTGGGATTACTGAAAGTAATTGTGATTGGAACACGAAGCTTCTCTGAACATCAATATCCTGAAGCTTTGTGCCATCTACAATGTCTGTCACGCCCTTTGAGATCATCAGGGACTCATCAGTGCACATCCTTACTGACAATACCATTGTGATGTATTATGTGAACAGACCAGGTTAGATGAGGAGGAGCAATGGTGTTTGAAGGCAGTCTGGCAAATCTTGCTTAACAGTAGAAAACCTTCCACCATAGTGGCCTATTTGGCCAAGTGGAAGCAGTTCTCGATGTGATTGTTAGCCCAGGGAATTCTACAGAAGATAGCTTGTATCCAGGACATCTTGGGAGTACCTGCTACACCTTCAGTTGTCTGGTTGTGCATTTAGTTTATTGAGAATGCACCTGGCAGCGATTTTGACATTTCATCCACCCATACATGGGAATTGGGTATTTTTGAGCTCCATGGTAGTGAGGTTCTTGAAAGGAGTCACTTGTCTCCACCCGCCGGTTAAAGAACCAGTTTCTTTGTGGGACTTTAATGCTGTCTTAGCAGCCGTTATGAGATCTCCATTAAAGCCTCTGGCAACTTCTTCTTTCTCCCTTTCCTATCTCTCTTTCGGTGATAACATCTGCAAGGAGAGTGTGTTAGTTGCAAGCTTTGATGGCAGATCCTCCTTATATGCAATTTTACGAAGACAAAGTAACCCTGCGGCTGCACCCTAAGTTTTTTTTTCTAAAGTGGTTTCTCAGTTTCACTTGAAACAAGTTCTATTTCTACCAGTGTTCTTCCCTAAACCACATTCAACCTCAGATGAATAGCGTCCTGACACATTGGATGTCTGGCAACGTTTAGCTTTTTACCTGGATAGGACTAAACCTTTCCGTTCTTCATCCCATCTGTTTGTTTTATATGCAAGCAGTCTCACCACAGACTATCTCTAGGTAGATAACGTCCTGTATCATGACAGCATACAAAGTAGCTCAGACTGTGCCTCCCAAAAGGTGCAAGTTCATTCCACAAGGACCGAGACAATGCTGATGGCATTTCTAAGTGACATTCCTATATTGGATATTTGCTGCTGTTTTGTCCTATATTCATACGTTTACACACCACTATGCCACTGCAGTGCATCCAGATCAGATACTTTGGGAAGGTAATCCAGCAGTCTTTGTTTAAATAGAGTATGAGCCACACCTCCTGTGAGTAATGCTTGTGAGTGACCTATGTGGAATACAAGGCTGCATCTACTTGAAGAAGAAAAGACGGCTACTTACTTGTACTGTAACTGTTCTTGGAGATGTGATGCAAACATATTCCACAACCCAACCTCTGTTACCTCTGCATCAGAGCGTGTACTCTCAACATTCCATGCGAAGGAATTGAGGAGGTTCGGGGTGGCTCAGCCTTTACACAGCCAGAGGAGGGGCTAGGGCTGCAGGGCACAAGCATTGCCCCTATGGGCTCTGTTAGGCAAAGTTCTTTGGCTTTGGTGTGCTGGGAGCTCACACACCATGTGGAATACACATCTACATCACATCTTGAAGAACAACAGTTACAGTACAGGTAAGTAACTGTTTTTTCTTTCCTGTAACTTGATCTGATGATACATACTGAAAACTGTGGTAGGGCAGCAGAGAGAGGTAAGTTAAAGCAGCACTAAGTGAGGTTAGCTTCAATTTTGTTAATTTGCACCTCATCTATACTTAATTATAATCCAGCTGCTAATTTGAGCAGTTTTTTGGGGTTTGAAGATCAGGATACCATGTACCAGGATTCCACTTTACCCAAAAACACTTATCACAAATTACAAACAGTTTTTCACAAACTTTTAATATAAGAATAAAACAAAAATTGATTGTGGCCAATTACTGACCTCTTAGTTTCTCTCCTCCTCTCCCCCATTAATGGGGCATCCCCCCATGGCCAAAGGGAATGTGGGTTACACTGGAAATAAAGAATTCTGCTGCTGCAGCACCTCCTATCAAGGAGAGAAAAAATCTTTGTGAAAGCCCCAAGCTGGCTCAAGACCACAGATCATAGCTCCAGTCCTGATCTGCCTGCAGCAATTAACTCAGTTGCTGGGATAAGTATATTGTCCTCACAAGATGATTATCTATACAAGGACATATTGAAAACAGAGTAATGCACGCAGTGCTGATAAAGAACAGTACTAAACAACAAGAAATAGTAATTTGACAGGTGTTTGCACTTTATATCATGCTACTGATATGATTCAGTATATAAAAGAAAAAGTCTAACCAAATCCCATTACTTGCTAGGTGTTCTCCTAAATTAGAGCAGCCGAAAGCTCTATCTTACACATGTAGGTGTAAGTCAGAATGCACCAAAAGGTCACCCCATGACCAATGTGTTTGTTATCAGAAACACGGCCTCCCCCACCCCCTTTTTTTCATCCAGTTGTACTCTCAAAAGCCTCTGTGCCGGAGAGAGGAAAGCCCCAGTAGTAGTTAGATCACACTAGTTCTACTTAATACCATCTCTTCATTGAACTGGGAGCCTCATGATGCATGGAAATCTCCTTGGGAAATGTTTAAGCAAACTATATGCTTGCTTTACAGCATACAAAATAGCACAAAATAATCACAGCACCCCCAGATTTGGCCCCGTATTTTTAACAGGAAGCTTTGCTGGTTGTTAGGCACCAAATCTAACCTATATATTCTTTCTGTGTCTTATGAACATGCTAAATCTATATAATTATCTCCTTTGATTTTGTTTAACCCAATACTTCACTGCTATTTTTTGCCTAATAAAAAGCCAGTCTTGATAGCTCTTCATTCCTGAGTAACACCACAATAACAAACTAGAAAAAAAATTTGGTAAGGCAGTTTATACAGTTTCAAGCATCTAAGAAGTTATAAACCAGGGGTCGGCAACCTCTGGCATGCGGCTCGCCAGGGTAAGCACCCTGGCGGGGTGGGCCAGTTTGTTTACCTGCCGCGTCCTCAGGTTCGGACGATTGCGGCTCCCACTGGCCGCGGTTCACCGCTCCAGGCCAATGGGGGCAGCGGGAAGACGCAGCCAGCACATCCCTCGGCCCGCACTGCTTCCTGCAGCCCCCATTGGCCTGGAGCGGCAAACCATGGCCTGTGGGAGCCACGATCGGCCGAACCTGCGGACGCGGCAGGTAAATAAACTGGCCCGGCCCGAGTCGCGTGCCAGAGGTTGCCGACCCCTGTTATAAACAGTGAGCAAAATTGTTTTAAAAATTAATGAAAACAATTGCTAAGGAATACTGTTATAAGAAGTAGTAGTTTGACTTGAGATCTATATAACACTTTCTTATGACCTCTGTTACATGATTCAGCATTTCTGACATAAACAACTTAGAATAATGAGATTGTGATTACATTTTGTGGGGAAAATGTCAAAGACCATCATCCTTCATAAGAAAGGCAAAGCTATGCTTATAGGCATAGCTTCAAGTAGCCAACAAATTTGCAAATTGTTTAGAAAATCTGTCTTGATTGCTTGCTAAAAGCAAGACTATAAGGGATTTATAATATCAGTCTCCTTAGGTGTGCCAATGGTGCATTTATTATACATGGTACCAAGTTTAATTTCAGGCTGTGTTTCCCAAAAGGTGCAACTCTCTCTCTTTTTTTTTTTAAATGCATTTAAATCTTTTTTAGGTAGACTGGGGTCAACTGGACTACTTAGTAATTGACATGCCGCCTGGAACAGGAGATGTACAGTTATCAATCTCACAAAATATTCCGGTTACAGGTACACTTTTACTGTGACTCTTTCAAAGATTTCAATATGTTTAATTCTTCATAGCAATAGAAAAATCTTTTAGAAAATGACAGTTGAAAATACTATAAATGTATAGAAACATAATATGAAAATATTCTCTGAATGCTGATGAAAAGTACAAACAATCTTTAAAATGTCAGCAGTGACACAGTTATTTTTTTTTTTTTTAAGTTACAGACTTAGAAAGATAGAGAAGTTGAACAAATCAATGTTCTGGGAAAAAGCAATTGCATTGTAAATTGATGGAGGTAGAGTTAATATTAGAAAATATATTCCCTGTCACTTTTCATTGTGGCATATGAATGCTAATAGAGTTTTAAAAAGTTTGTCTTGATAATTGTTTTTTTTTTTTTTAGTTGTAAGTCAAGCAATCTTCTTAATGCACAAAGCTTAATCAGGCAAACTACACTGTGCTTTAACACACTAATGGATCCTCCTTTCTCTAGTGTTCTGAATTTGAATTTTAGCTGGAGATTCGAACTCGTATGGCTCAACTCTGTGACATACTAAGGCCTTGTCTACACTACGAGAGTAGTTCGATTTTACTTGCATCGAATTTTTGTAATCGATATTGCAAAGTCGAACGTGTGTGTCCACACTAAGGACAGTAATTCGACTTTGTGCGTCCACACTAACGGTGAAAGCGTCGACATTTGAAGCGGTGCACTGTGGTCAGCTATCCCACAGTTCCCGCAGTCCCCTCTGCCCATTGGAATTCTGGGTGTAGCCGGCAATGCCTTCTGGGTAACAAAATGAGTCGAGGGTGCTTTTGGGAAACTGTCGTCATCCGTCCATCACTCCCGCCCTCCCTCCCTGAAAGCGCCGGCAGGAAAACAGTTCGCGCGCTTTTCCAGTCATTGACAGCGTGGACGCCACTGTACTCCGAGCATGGAGCCCGCTGCGACCATCGCTGCAGTTGTGGCCGCTCTCAACGTCTCGCAGCTTATCATAAAGGTTTCCCTGAGGCAGATGCAGAAAAGTCAGGCGAGGAGGCTACGGCTAAGCGGGGATGTACTAAAGTCAGAGAGTAGCACAGACGTATCG